AAATTTTTCTACACACACAGACTTCCAACTTTTCCGTCACATCGTTTCAATTTTAACTAAACTTCTAATTTTGGTGTGAATTGAATACACCCTATGAAGGACCCTTGTCAAGCTTTTGTTTTGTACGAAGGGCTTTCCTCATGAAAAAGTAAAGGGAAAGAAAAACCCACATAGCTCCCATTTATCTTCTTTTCTCCTCCAATGGTTTGGGCCCCATGCCCTAATCATGATCAAGAAACTAATCTTGTCTTACTATATTGACTCTCTTTTTGTACACGACGTTGCGACCAAAACTCCTTGGCGAGTTGCAACGGTCTCGCAGTGTGCTCGTCTCCAAGCGCTCCACTCTGGCAATACAAACGGGCAATTGACCTTGACCTAAAACTAGCACGACAGACGAAAGACTCCAAACCAGGCACGATCAACGTAATCGGCGTGGATTGAGGCTTCCCCCCGGCCGTCATCGTCCGCACGAATCGAGGCGGCTTCCGCCTTAGAGCAAGAATAATAGAGGGCTGCAAGAAGGCTAAATGCTGATGTAGATAAAAGAGGAGAGGAGAGAGATAAGAAATGGGTTGTAAACTTACAGCCGCCTTAGACACAAGAACCAAAATAAAAATATGTGAGACAGACAGGTGAACCATATATTTATAGGAAGAGTTAATCACTATATGAGTGAGCTGAGAGATAGGCTATAAAGATCTATACCGTCAGCAGCTGGCTGTATTATTAGCCTTGCTCTTAGCCGTCGTCGTCAGTGCGGATCTGAGCGGCTTTGTCCTCTTTGCCACATCCTTTACTTCAGCAGCCGGTGCGCGTCCCCGGCACCATCGTTAGCACGAATTGAGACAGCTCCCTCTCTAACTGTCGTTGTCGGCACAGATCTGTGGGTCCCTCCCCAGCCGCCGCATCCTCTCCTTCTTCGGCCGTCAGCGCTCGTCTCTAGCCGTTAACGCCAATGTGGATCAAGGCGGCTTCCTCCCTAGCCGTCATCGCCTGCTCTTCTTCTTCGACCGTCAATGAGCATCCTTAGCTGCATCGGCGCGAATCTAGGTGGCTCCCTCCCCATCTGTCATCCATGTCGTCGATGGCGTCTTCCCGGCGATGGTTTACAAGTTCCTCTTTAAAATATTATCCACATCATCAACTAAGACCCTATTTGGATGGGGCTAAAATTTTTAGACCCTGTCACATCGGATGTAGGGACGTTAATTTGGAGTATTAAACATAGACTAATTACAAAAACCCATTCTATAATCTTGGACTAATTCACGAGACGAATCTATTGAGCCTAATTAATTCATAATTAGCCTATGTGATGCTACAGTAAACATTTGCTAATTATGGATTACTTAGGCTTAAAAAATTCGTCTCGCGAATTAGCTCTCATTTATGCAATTATTTTTATTATTAGTATATGTTTAATACTCCAAATTAGTGTCCAAACATCCGATGTGACAAGGACTAAAGTTTAGTCTCTGGATCCAAACACCACCTAATTTATTAGCGGCCATCTCATACACCACATCGCATTTAATACACTAGCCCTAATGTAACATAATTATTTTATTTTATCCACTCTCATCCAATCAACCTTTTTTTTTCTATTTCCTTAAGTTTGTAAAGAGATTGATGCTTGTATGAGAGGTGACTTATTCTCTCTTTTCTCTTCTCGCCTCATCTCATAATTTATAGATGATACTAGCAAAAATACTCGTGCGTTGCACTGGGTGATTACGTAGTGTGTATAGTGAAAATAGTGTTGTTTGGTTTAGACAACTAATCTACTCAAAAAAATTGTTTGCTTTTAGATAAATAATCTGCTCTATATTTGTAGAAATGATGTTTAGTTTGGATGATTTGTAGCACGGGAGAAAATGGATGGACGAATAATATGATTGTCTTTGCCGAAAAGGCGACAGATGAAAATTGGTATCATGAACAAAAATATTTATTTTTTATGTAGAACATGAGTGGAATTTTTGTACTCAATGTACTTTGAATTGCGAGAATATATATATATATATATATATATATATATATATATATATATATATATATATATATATATTTAGAAACACAAAGTGCAAACGCGCTCACAACACGAGTATTGAGATTGACGAAGTAACCATGAACGCCTCGAGCACCCGTGTCAAATCAAAGATTTGAATCCAGATTGACTGGTTCCACCACAAGAAACCTATCCAGTTAAACTATACCCACTTTGCAATAGTGGGAATATACTTGTGTATTGTTACCTATGTGTGGAGTTCAACAAATCGTAAAAAACAGTCTTATTAATTTTGTGAGAGTGAGTATTGTTTTTTATTTACAAATTGTATTTGAGGTCAAATATTAATAAGTAGACATTAAAAAGAAATGAAAGAAGATTAGATGGTGAGGGGAAAAAATAAAAAAAAAACATAATAAAAAAAGAGCGGACAAGAACAGGTCAAGAAAATTTTATTATTTAAAATTTTTTAATAAATAGATGCTTGTGTGTTGCAACGGGTAAACTAAAATTATCAAAAATATAAAAAATATTAGATCGTTAGGATTTAGTTTTTATGATATGAGCCCTTTAAAAAATATATTTCTTATAGAAATAAAAAAGTTATAAAAGAAAGGCCCATTAGACTTAAAACCGAACAAAAATTAAAAACCAACTCTATAAATCTCTATATGTGCCGGTTATATGGCATACTTGTGCTGTTTTTTTCTCAAATACAGAGTGCTCATTTTTTTTAAAAAAAAGATATAAGGCCCGCCAGACCTAATCCTTATCCCCGAGCGAGCAAGCGGAGCAAGCGGCGCCTCGATCCTTCCATCTCCTCATCTTCTCGTTTTTCCCGACTTCCCTTATCCTCTCTCTCTCCTCCCTTCATTTTCCTCTTTCTCGGTGTTTTCTCCACTGCCGTCGCAGCCAGCGACGCCCTCCCCTCTCCCCTCACCAGTGCGCCGCTTCCCCTCCCCCTCGCACGGCGCCCTCCTCCTCTCGGTCTTCTCTCTCGCTCTCCTCTCTCTCGTAGCCGAGGCGGCAGGCGGCGGCGCAAGAGGGGTGGCGGCGGCAGGTGGAGACGGTGCGGCCCAGCGGCGGCAGGAGGCAGCATCGGCAGCGATGGCTGCGCCCTCCCCTCCGCGGCAGTAGTGGGAAGAGCGGCGGCCGCCCAGAGGTGCCCTCCCACCACCAGATCCAGCGGGAGGAAAGGCTCCGGAGCTGCGCCGCCTCGCCATCCTCCCCGCCGCCACCTAATGCGCCGGTCGATCCAGCGGCGGCGGCTCCCTCCGCCCCCTCTCGCCTTCCTCCGGCGGCGGTGGCGGCGGCGGCGGCAGCCGCGAGCGGATCCGGCGGCAGCGGGCGGATCCAGCGGCGGAGGCTCCCTCCTCCGCCGCCTCTCTTCTCCCTCCGGTGGCGGTGGCGACGGCCATGGATGGATATCGTGGCGACGGCTGAGGGCGGCAGTGGCGACGGTCAAGGTTGGATCCGGCGGCAGGCGAGTGAAATTTTGTGATGTAGTTTTGTGATTGTGATGTATATTGTAGTTCTTCTTGGATGTTTATTTTGTGATTTTGTGATTATTGTAGCTGAGTGATTTGGTTGTGCCGATTTTGGAAATTGTTTCTCTTGTATCCAATTCTGAGAGGGATTGGGATTCAGGGGCTGCGGACGAAGGCGCACCGCGAGGGACGAAGGCACCCTTCGTCCGACTTGTGACGATAGAAAAAATTTAAATATTTATATTAGTTATAGATTTAGGGAGTCGTGTTTAGATATGGTACATGCCCTAGCGTCGCGCCGCGCGCGGTACGTGCATTGGACAGTGGTGCGGTCAAAAGTGGGCGGCACTTTTAACTTCTTTTTGTGCGAGTGATCGATCGATCGATCGATGGTGTATAATCATTGCATGCGTATGCCCGGGTGGTTTCCACGTGACGCAGCTTTAATTTGCTCGATCGCGGAGTCTCCTTTGGTCTCCTCCACCCATTCGCAATGACGCAGCACGGCAGCAGCATTGGTTGGTTAGTACACCGTCTTATATATTCCTAGCTAGTCGCATTGGCGTGCATTGCGCCATCGATGACAACACGACGCGTACCTATATGTACGTGGCAATAATACTACAGAGTAGTGGCATCTGATCGCAATGTAGAGGCGATCGATGGACACAGGCACACAGCCTTACGTATATACGTACCTTCTAATCATACGTATACGGTGTAACCTTGTTTGGGATACGTGTATACGATATAGCTGAGCAGAATCAGGCGGTGTGCATTTGCAGCAAACGGATCGTAATTGAGCAATGAATGAGCCATAGATTACATCCGTGGAGATCAGGCACTCGGGTGCGTTCCCAACCCCTCTTATTTATTTTCCGTGCGCACGCTTTTTTTCAAACCGCTAAATGGTACATTTTTTTAAAAAAGTTTCTATACGAAAGTTGTTTAAAAAAATTAAATTAATCCATTTTTTTTAAAAATGGCTAATACTTAATTTATCACGCGTTAATGCACCGTACCGTTTTATGTAATTACTGTTTCAGATGGGAACAAGGATGGTATTGGAGGTCTTGCTACCTGTTCAAAACACACGTATTAATCGAGTGAGAAATTGAGAATGAGAAGGACGTCCAGTATCTCTCTCGTGCAATTACCCACGACAGGTGATCGACATGTCGACACATGTGGAAACTAAGCGAGCGGCGTTGCAGCAGCGGCGCCTTACGCTCGCGCGTTCTCATCTCGCGATCCTACGTAGATCGGTCGTGTCCCAGCGGGAAGAGACGACAGTCGACAGGCGTCGCCGTCGATGCAAGACTTCCCCGAGGCAAGTCTCCGGCCGTGCAGCGCCCGCCCGGTTGGGTCGAGAGGATGGGAGGAATTCCATGGCACGTTGACATGTCTAGCTAGTGGTGGTGGTGGCCAGTGGGAGATCGAAGTGGACGGCTGGCTCGGTGGACGGGTAGACCGTGCACATGGCCTCTCGTGATTTGCCGGCTGCGTGGACGACTTCGCCTCTCTTGACCCGCTCCGGGTCGCGCTGCCGAGCACACGTATTTCTTCTCCTAATGGCTAATCCTGCTTGGATACCGTCCGGTCGCGTGCTGGTTCTGCTCCTTCGCTGTTTAGACGCGTAATCCGCATGAACAATCCTGTCTCGATTTCATACTGATGATATTTGATCTGCTGCGCGGCTGCTCGTTACGTTGGGTGTTATTTGATAGTATTTCCTTGTGTTCTTGAGCTTGGTAAGTAAAGTGGTGCCGTGTCGGGTGTGAGGTTTTGGCATGCCCGCGGGGGCGAGGTCATGGCTCGCCGACCTGCGCGCGCGGTTCGGTGGCGGCGCCAGGGAGGAGGCGGGTCTCGGGATCCTGGCGTTCGAGGCGGCGGCGGCCATGTCGCGGCTCGTGTCGCTCCACCGCTCGCTGTCTGACGTGGAGGTCAGGAGGCTCCGCGCGGACGCGCTGCGCGCCGAGGGCGTCGCGCGCGTCACGTCCACGGACCAGTCGCTCCTGCTCCGGCTCGCGTGCGGCGAGTTCGTGGCGGACCTCGACCATGCCGCCGGCACTGCCGCGCGCCTCGGGGCGCGGTGCTGCGCGGGCGCGCCGTTCCTGCACGATTTCGACCGCGTCTACGCCGAGGCGAAGCGCGGGAACGGCCTCGCGCGGCTGGACGCGACGGTTGGGTTCTACAGGGGCGCGGCGAAGCGGTTCAGGAAGATGGAGCGGCACGTGGCTGCGACGGCGAAGCTGTACGCGGAGATGGACGCGCTCAGCGAGCTGGAGGCGTCGGAGCGGCGGATGGAGCAGTGGATGAGGCATAGCGGGCCGATCCCGGCGCAGCCGGGGCCATCGGCCAAGAGGCAGGTCCCCGAACCTGGCGAGAAGCTGATACGCGAGCTCAACTCGCAGCGGCAGAAGGTGCGCCGACTCATGGAGAGCTCGCTCTGGAGTGTCGCCGCGCACAAGGTATCCAAGCTCATGGCCAAGTCGGTGCTCGCCGTGCTCGCGCGCATCTCAATAACATTCGGTGCGTACGTGCCGGGCTTGCCGCTTTTGACAGTAGGTCGCGCGTGGGCGCTCCGCCGCACGTCTGGCCCCTTACAGCAGGCGGCGTCACCGGCCGCGGCGATCCGGCACTCGGCTCCCATCTTTCGGCAGAAAGACACCGCCTTTTCAGCGTCGGAGTCCATCAAGCCCCCGGCGAGCACGGTTGGCGGCTCGGGGATGGAGCTGCGATACGCGAACATGATCGTGTGCGCCGAGATGCTGCTCAGGCAACTTTGGCCAACGATCCACAGCAACGAGGTGGACGCCGGGATGGATCTCTCGAAGAGAGACGAGCTGTACAAGATGCTGCCTGTGACCATCCGCACGGCCGTGAAGGCGAAGCTGAGAGAGAGCTGGAGAGGGCAGCCAGTGGACGAGGCTGCGGCGGCGGCGTCGATGGACGCGGTGGACAGGATGCTGCGGTGGTTGGGGCCTATGGCGCACGACACGGTGCGGTGGCACGACGAGCATAGCATGGAGCGGGCGCAGCGGTTCAGCATGCGGCCGCGCGTGCTGATGGTGCAGACGCTGCACTTCGCCGACCGGCACAAGGCAGAGAATGTCATCGTCGAGGTGCTCATCGGGCTCAGCTGCGTTTGCTGGTACGACGATGAGCGACGCCGTCCGGCCGATTGGGACGACGACGACTAGACTGTTGGGTCTGGCGCTCTACTGCCCGGTATATTGGCATGGTATATAAGCATAAAGCATTTGTATCCACCATTATGGATACACCGCAGGACAATTTTTTTTGTTATGATTTGAAGAGTGACACTGTGTGCTAGCTAGCTAAATGTTCTTGCATCCCAGCGAGAAAAAACAATATGATACCACTGTAAATACGTGGTAATGTACATATGTTTATTCAAGGGTAGGACATGTCTATTGAAAATCATGTAAGTATGAATTTGTGACCATTGGATTCATGGAATTGTCTAGATTACTCTATATTTTTACCATATATTGTGTCTCCTCTTCTTCTCAATCCCTCCCCTCACCATCATCACCTCCTCTCTCCACCCAATCCAATCTCCGCCACGCCTCTCCACCTAGCATCATCCGTGGCATCGGCCCCAAACCGACAAGGCTTGTTGGATCATGTTACTTCCCTTTTCATTCTCCTGTGATCTTTACCGATCCTCTACATTGTCCCATCCGCTGTATCAATTCCGTCTTTGGTAACTTGCCCCTGCTATCAGCTCCGCCCTTGCTAACTACCTTCTCTACCGGTATGTTCTTACTATGCTTCCCGCATACTCCTCTCTCCACTCCCTCACCTATCCTTGAATTTTAATTCGGACTTCACCAAGCTCATCAATGATGAATGAGAAGGTTGATCGGGTAGAAAACATGGAGCGGATTGATAAGTCAAAATATCGCAAATATTTTGTTTTTGAATCCCATTTGTGTGTGGTTAGGAAACTTGCACATTAAATTATCATAGTAGTATTTCACATGTTACACATTTTGTCCGAGACATTCACATGTTTCATGTAATTAGGCATCACTGTAAAATATGTGCTAACTTGGGTAATGTACATACCTATCATTCTGATGCTTGCTGTGTTTGTTGGCAATGATTGGTCCACGTGTCAGTTCTCTATTGGTAGATAAATCTAGATTATTCATTTGAGGAAACAAAACAGCTCACCGTACATCACAAAATTAAATTAAGCCGATGTACCAGATCATATCATCTCCTCGTCTCCCCCGACTCTTCATCTCCTCGACTTATCATCTCCTCGTTGTTGCCTTGCTGCCGCCCAAGCAGGCCGCCAGTGTGACGTGCGACTGCGAGGAAGGCGACGGCAGGACTCCGACGGGACTTGCGATGGACGGGCGAGTCAGGTATGTGGTTTGCCCCCAGATCTAGCGGCACTAACGCCGGAGAAAGTAGGGGCTGTGGGCAGCGGTAGTGGGCTAGCGCCTGGCGCGGGCGGTAGCGGAGGTGGTCGGGAGATTGGTGCCGTAGCAGGTAGCGGTGAGCCGTCGGCGGCGGCGTTTCTTCGGGAGGTGGTGGGCGCTGCGGAGGACGCCGACGGTGGGTGCGACAGAGAACTGCGGCAGCGGAGGACATCGACAACCAGCCCTCTGCATGGAGAAGGCGGATCCGACGGAGGTGGTTCGTAGGCAGAAGCGCCTCCTCGGCTGTGGCGGAGGTTGCCCTAGAGGCAGCAACAGCCTAAGTGTCGGTGCAAGGATCTCGGTGAGGAGGAGGCGGATCAGACGAAGGCAGATCCCGTCGGCGGCGGAGGCCTGGGTGTTTGAGAGGCAGAGGTGGATTTCGACATCGGTGGCAGCCCTGTAGGTGGCGGAGGCATAGGAATCCAGTGAAGTGGAAGCGGATCCTTTAGCTCGCGTCTGGTTGGCTAGTTCTGATTGGATGATGACAGATGAGGTGGGCTTACTAGCGGAACGTGGCATCAACTCACTTGAAGCGGATGAAGATGACACCAGCGGAGTTTTGTAGCGACAACGCACAAGCTACATGACCTCCACTCATCGAATATAATCGTTTCAATTGAGGATGTCAAGAAATAGGGATGTGTCAAGATCGTCTTTTTTTTTGTGTGTGTTCTCCTCTTTAATGAGGCATGAGTCTAAGCGCTCTTGTATCATTCTGGTTATGTATATCCCTCGTGAATATAGAGGCCGGATTAATGAAAATCCATTATCTAAAAAAACAAAAATAAATTAAGCCAAAGCATGCACAGTCCACTTGGCGATAGCCCTGGCCGCCGGTGCCATTCTCACCCTTCGCGTTCTGCACGCGGGGATTTGCACATTTTGTGTCGCTAGAAAAAAAAAGGCAACAAATTATTTTTTGTAAAAAAAATACTACCATTATGGGAGAAACAAGTGAATATATGAAAAATAAAGAACACTAGGAGTAAAAAGATAATGAACAATTGAAAAATAATGATATTTGACAATATATAAACAAACATTGCCACATATTTTATCGCGGGTTTGTTAAGCGATAGAACCGTTTTTGTTCAATTATGGTATTACAACAAAAGACACACTAAATAATATGGATAGAAGAAAAAAAGAAACACTAGGGTTTCTGAGTGTTTATGTTAAAACAAATCTCACTTTAATGTATTATACATGCCACACCGAAAATTAAAATATTGTTAAGAGGCTATAAAATATATTGTTTGAAGTACTAAATGTATGAATTTTACATCACATATGTGGCTTAACTAGCAAGCGGTTCAACGACATACCCATTTTCAAAAGAAGAAGCTGTAAAACATTGTGAAGAGACAAGACAAAATATTCAGATTTTTTTTTTGTTTAGACAAATATTAAATTTCTATATGATGATTTATAGAACATATTTCTATTAGAATATGGGAAATCTCCTAAATAAAGTTTCACGTAAAAAAACATAGAAAGTATAACACAATCATTTTTTCATGTGTTCTAAAAACTGATAAATTGAAAAATAAAATAGAGTAAATTTCATAAAACTTACAGATAATTTGATCAAATTATCAAAAAAACTACAGATTTTAAATGATGTAGCATAGAACTACAGATTTAATAATAAATTTATCACAAAACTACAAGTTTAAAGCTAAGTATCGCAAAACTACAAATTCAATAATAAAATTATCACAAAACTACATATTTTAGGGTTTAAATTTTGAGCACTAATGTTATGTTGGACTTATAATTTTTCAAGTTTTGTGATTAAATTATCATTAAACATGTAGTTTTGTGATAACTTTGTTACTAAATATGTAGTTTTGTAACATTTCACCTTAAATCTGTAGTTTTGTGATGAATTTAGTGTTAAATCTGTAGTTTTGTGATGCATCATGTTAAATTTGTAGTTTTCTAATAATTTGATCAGAGCACCTATAGTTCTGTGAAATTTACTCAATAAAATACTACTCTCTCCGTTTCAGGTTATAAGACGTTTTGACTTTAGTCAAAGTCAAACTGATTTAAGTTTGACCAAGTTTGTAGAAAAAAGTAGTAACATTTTCAACTCGAGATAAATTTATTATGAAAATATATTCATATATTGATTTGATGAAACTAATTTAGTATTATAAATATTTCTATATTTATCTATAAATTTAGTTAAACTTGAAATAGTTTAAGTTTGACCAAAGTCAAAACGTCTTTGTAACCTGAAACAGAGGGAGTACCTTGTTTGTGATGTCGTACGAATGTATGACCATCACCCAAATCTCACTCAGATGGTCAATACTTACGAAAATATTTGTACACTATGTCTATGATAGAAATCTTAAATGTCAAATAAAATCATGGAAACTAACCAAGTTTCAAATAAGCCAAAAACGCTACATGCGGACTATAAAATATATGGCACGCCAATCAACATGAATTTTCGAGTACTCTCTTCGTAGTTATGAGTTTCCAAGTTCAACTTTAACCGTTTGTCTTATTTATTTTTTTTGAAAACAATAAAAACACAAATCACATATAAAATGATATTCATGTTTTATCGCCTAATAACAACAAAAATATTGTTTTTAAAATTATTTCAAATAAGATGGATAATGAAAGTTGGCTCGAAAACTTATGACTATTTAAATTTAAATCATATCAACTTATATAAACTTATGTTGTTTAAACTATCTTACATATTCCCTCTATTTCAGGTTATAAGGCTTTCTAGCAGTGTGGACAATGCTAGAAAGTCTTATAACATGTGTCTAGATTCATTAACATCTACTTCCTCCGTTTCACAATATAAGTCATTACAGCAATATGAATATGAGAGATGCTGGAATGACTTACATTGTGAAACGAAGGGAGTATATGAATGTGGATAATGCTAGAAAGTCTTACAACCTGAAACGGAGAGAGTATTATTTTTAGTTATTGTTCTCGTAGTGAACTCCCATGGTAACGTCCGGCGTTTCACCTGCGGTGTGTTTAGTTCACGCCAAAATTAGAAGTTTGGTTGAAATTGGAACAATGTGATGGAAAAGTTAGAAGTTTATGTGTGTAGAAAAAATTTAATATGATGGAAAAATTGGAAGTTTGAAGAAAAAGTTTGGAACTAAAACTAGGCCCTGGTTGTATAATTCTACCCGCTGGCGGTGTCGCTTGTGAAAGAAGCCCATTGTCCGGAGGCATCGGCCCACGTCAAAAAGTGACCGTTCTGGATCGGGCTAAAGGCGGCTACATCACTTCGTCCCGTGGCCGGTGCGCCCTTCTTCCCAATTGCGACACCCCCCCAACTTGTCGTCTTCAACTCTTCCCACACCACGCCGAATTGCCGAAACCCTAGCCACCCCTCTTCCCCCTCAAAGCGGCGGCGGCGGCGGAGGCCGCTGCATCGCCTGCTAAGATGTCGGGCGGCTTCTTCCGGGTAAGTAGCTCCGATCCTCCGTACCGATCTAGCACCTCGCCGTGTAGCCCCTCGCTCGCTGGATCTGTGAGAGGCGGCGCTGATTCGCCGTGGGGTTTTCGCAGGGGACGTCGGCCGATCAGGACACCCGTTTCTCCAACAAGCAGGCGAAGCTGCTCAAGACGCAGAAGTTCGCGCCCGAGCTTGAACACCTGGTCAGTGTGCTTCATCTGCTCACGCACCTGCTGGTTGCCGTGTCGTTTGTGCTACCAGCTGTTTGTTTCGACGCAAACTCTGATTTAGGTTTGTTTTTTTTCTCTCTGTTGGGTTGGTTACAGGTGGACATGACTAAGGTGAAGATGGATGTGATGAAACCATGGATCGCGACCCGTGTCACCGAGCTCCTAGGGTTCGAGGACGAAGTGCTCATCAACTTCATCTACGGCCTCCTCGAAGAGAAGGTGAGGCTTTTAAACATATTGTTTATTTGACTTGAGCAATGGAGGTTGGTTTGTTACGCCCTCGTTGAACTATGCGCGTGGTACGTAGGCTGCTTTTGAATTTGACGAAGATAGGCTCGTTGAATTGCTAAACCTCATACATGAGGGTATGTCTGAACATGACAGAAAACCAAATACATGGTGTAGTTCAGTATTTATACTGAAATTATACATGGAGTTCAGGAACTAAATTGAAAACCTTACAACGGTCTTTTTGGGTAAAATGTTGGGAATTTCGATTATTATTGGATACTTTTCCCAAATTTGTAAAACAATACCAGCGTCGTGTGTACCGTTAATTATGGTTAGATAGCATATTCTTTCGGCAGTCATTTTTGCATGTTGTTGAATTTTTTTTTGTCTGCTCTAGGCTAGTTTTTGGTCAAAACCAAAACTCAAGAAACCAGTAATTATGTTTTGTGTTTGTTTAGTGCTTAACGTTTGTGGGTTTCTGTACAAGATATTAGAAGGTGGGGCTAATACGGTTTTGGTTTCAATTTCTGTTTGTTTGGCAGGAGGCGGATGGAAAGAAGATACAGATACAGCTGACAGGATTCATGGAGAAGAACACAGTGAAGTTCATGAAGGAGCTGTGGAGCCTCCTACTCAGTGCACAACAGAATGCTAGTGGGGTGCCCCAACAGTTTTTAGATGCAAAGGAAGCTGAGATTCAGCAGAAAAAGGTTAACATAAGTATATACTGCATTATCGCTATATTTGGGTGCATGTTTTAGATCATCTGTTTTTGATGAATCCATATGACTTACCAAAAACAATGAAAGTTTTTTTTGGTAAGAACTCGAGGGAGAGAATGCAAGCTAGAAGTTTTAAATTACCCTTTCTGTTTTTCTTTGTCACGGAATATGGAATAATAATTGATCCTATTTGTGGCATATTATTATTATTTTTGTTCTTACAGGTCCTATTTGTTTTTGATAACTTTTTATATGTGATTTATGGAAACGGCAAAATTTCTTGTAGCCTTTAGGATTTATCCGTTTATCCTGTGAAACTGGAATACACTTTATACCTCATGGTGTTGTTACTATCTTTGTGCTTTATTGCGGCTTAATTTCATTAAAGGGGATGCTTACCCATTAACTTCCTTGGGCTTATGCGCAGGCAGAGGAAAGTAGAATTGCTCAGGAGATCCAGAAGAAACGGGAGAAAGATGGAAGGGAGCAAGAACTAGAGAAACAAAAATTGATGGTGAGCTAATTCATTCTGACCAATTTTGTTATGCTGTTAATTTTCGGGTTGTCTTGTAACCTCTTGTGTTTCTGATGACATTCAGATAGCTTCTCCGATTATTTGGGTTCATATCGTTCTTTACCTCAAAACTGCTGTAGGACGGGGATGCCGGTAATTCTAGATTAGGTCCTGATCGTGCTGATGCTGAGGAGGAAAAAGAACTGGATTCTAAGCATAGCTCAAGAACAAAGAGCCGGTTAGTTCTACCTTCTTAAACTGGAACTACCTTTAAATCCGTGACATCAGATCAAATTCTCAGAGAACAACCACATCTTGGATTCCACTTTTTCTGTTACGGAGTGCCTTTATTTTCCATCTTAAAGATTTACCAGTCATACATATGTTTAGCTTGTCATTATTTTCTGCATTAAGTTTGATCCGTTGTTTGTTCTTCGTTGTATTTGAATTTTAGAATATGCTCATAAAGATTTTCTGGATTCAACATGATTCTAAAGTTAGTATTTTCTTGTTTATGGAACACTTGAAGTTACAATAATTTGAAACTTTTTGTGCACAATTCTTTCATTTTGGTCTGCCTTTTTTAAGGTTCCCTGATCACAAATCATTTGGTGATTTTGTTTTTGACCCTAAACGACCAGCTGTTTTTTTTTAGCATTTCTTTTTGTTGAATCTTTTTATGAAAAATCAAAATTGAAATTCTAAGGCTGACAAACCCTTGATAGAAAAAGAATCAACACTCTTTCTTGCACTCACTTTTTTTAAGCAGCAAATTAGTAGGACTAAACTTTTTGGACCCTGAACACTGGATTAAGAGCCTGTAATTCATCCATGACCTCACTTGACTGTTGTTCTAGTTACACATGTACATGGCAAGAAGCTGATTCCACCAAAACAAATTTGTGATGGCAATGTTATTGGACTTCTCATTTCAGGGAAAGCCTTAGGTCCAGGAGCATCTCCTTGTCGCCTCGCGGTAGGCGGCGATCTGTTTCTCCTAGGAGGCGTTCTCCATCTCCTTCCAGAAATTCCATTTCTTTTGGGAGACAGCAACGATCTTCAAGGCGCTCAGTTTCACCTAGGCGTTCTTTTTCTCCACGAAAGCGTTCTCCAAGAAGTACCCCTTCGATGTCGAGGCGGAGATCACCGTATTCCAGAAGATCACCTTCAGTACCAAGACATCGATCTCCGTCACCTCATCGTAGATCTCATATTCGCAGGAAATCTCCACCTTTTGTGCGTCAGAGATCACCATCTCCACACCATCGCCGGTCTCCAGGTCGTGCACCAAGATCACCATCTCCTGCACGTCATAGATCTCCTCGGCGCAGGTCATCTCTAGACAGGCATTGGTCTCCATCTCCAGGAAGACGTAGGCCTCGGTCCCCTTCACCCGGACGACGTAGGCCACGGTCCCCTTCACCCGGACGACGTAGGCCACGGTCCCCTTCACCAGGAAGACGTAGGCCACGGTCCCCTTCACCAGGAAGACGTAGGCCACGGTCTCCATCTCCGGGTAGACGCAGGCCAAGGTCACGATCTCCAGGAAGACGAAGATCCCCCTCTCCTCGAGGCTCTCCGCGGTTGAGGTCACCAAAACGCCCTAGGAGATCGCCAATTTCACCCAGAAGTCGTTCTGCAAACCGTCGGCCCTCTCCACAACGAAGGAGGTACCGAGCAATTGAATTTGCTGTGCACCTATTGTAGTCTTCCTGCATGTAATTATTTTCTGATTCGATTATTTATGCTGATGTTTAAAAGGAGTACCAGTCCACACGATAGGAGCCCAATCCATTCTCGCAGGAGCTTGAGTAGAGACATTGAAAAAGGAACAAACGGCATTCCCTCCAGTAACGATGTAGATGTGCTTCAAAGGTAATGTGCATGGCATATTTTGTTTGTCTTTCAGTACAATTATTCAGAAAAGCTGTTCTCTTACTTCTGTTACATCAGGAACAAAGAAAGATCACACGATGACAATAGGAATGATACAGAAGTGAGTGGCCATCTTTCATCGGATTCTGAGCATCGTAAGCTGACAAAATCCTTGAATTCTCCAAACAAGCCAGAAAGGAACTCGACACGCGATAGGTATCTACTCGTCCGTATCGATTTATTTATTTCTTTCATTTCTTCTCCACATATTTGTGATCAAATGTGCATACTGAAGGCTTGGCCATCTTTTTTGGCAGTTCTTTGAAGGGCACTGATAAGCACTTGCCCAGTCAGGTCAGAACAGATAGCAGTGGAGAAGAGGAGGGCAGTCGTGCAAGGTAGTCTCCATTCTACCTATCCCTTCTTTCAAAAGGGTTGTTTGAGTTTCTTATTGTTGATATAAACGGTTCTTTTGTTTATGTTCAGAGAGAATGCACGAAAAGCAAATTCATCACGCAGAAAAATTAAGGATTTCTCAGCAGATCTGGAACTAAAGAAAGCACATGATGATTTGAGCCCTGGAGAAAAATCTCCATCACAACATAGGTAAGCTTCTTTGCTGCATTTTGGTTGTCAAATGAAATTGCTTCTTAGTTTTCTTTAATTTTACCCCCTTTCATTTTTTTTTCTTGGTATGAGCATTTTTTCTTAGCACTGTTCATGAGGTAGCACTTTTCCTATTTGCCTGGAGCACTTCAGTGTGTTTCTCTTTTCTTATTCATGTACTGGTTATTTCTAGACAAAGTCCATGGATGCATACTGGAATTGCCATTTTAAATCTTGGTAGGAAAGCATTTAGCTGATTGTTTTTACTTACCAAAGTACACACTATAATGGTAGTGGTGTCAATTGTTACGGACAGATTGAGAACCTAATGACTGTAATGTCAACTAATAGACCAATTACCAATACCTACTCTGTTCATTTTGTATCATCTAGCTATAACTGTCAGAAGCACCATTTCTTTTTCCTCAGCTAGCATGACACTGTTTTCTGTTCTAGTGGCAAGGAGACAAGGAGGAAACAGAACAATCAACTGTCAGAGTCATCAGAAGATGAGCGTGATGGTAGAAGAACGAAACACACGGTTGATTCTCCTGATGATTCCCAACAGAAACAGCACACTCCTAGTAGAGTTGGAATGCACAACTCTTATTCAAAGGATGGCATGAACAGTGAGGATGCAATAAAGGGTTTACGTGACGGTATGGCTTCTAAGAAGTATCCTGCTAAAATCGATGATGATTCTGAGTCAGAAGATGGAAGTCCTTTTCGAAAAGATAAGAGAAAAGCACACGGTAATAACAACATTGATTCTGGCAGTTCAGGTTCAGAAGAATCAGGGAAACATAGATCCCATTCTGAGAAGCGAAAGCATAAAAAGAGCCGTAAGCATAAGAGACGTTATGATGACAGTTCTGATGAATCTAATTCGGAGTCAGATGACAAAGAGTCCAAGAGGAGGAGAAAGGAAGAGAAGAGGTTGCGAAAAGAGGAAAGACGGCGCAGACGTGAAGAGCGGCACCGTAGAAAGGCAGACCGTCAGGCCAGCAAACTAAAACTGAAGCATGCTGAAACTGTTGATATGGCTTCAGATCTTGAGAAGGATCGTGAATCTGACTCAGATGCTGATGCTAGGAAGAAAGGTTCATATAATGGAAGAGACGAATCGGATCAGCAGAAACTTGAAATTGAGCTTCGCGAGAAGGCTCTGGAATCTCTTAGAGCAAAGAAAGCCATCAACCACTAGGCTGAGGAATCTCTTGCTATGCATTTACATCTTTTAAAAACTTTTCTTTTGCTTATATCATGTTCTGGAAGTGTGCTTATATGACTCCTATTTAATGTTCTGTATGTTTACGTGGCAGTTGACCTGAGTAATTGAGGATTCCTGAGCTGTTTGCTTGATGCAGCTGTATTCAGGCTTAGCTGCTAGTTATCTGGTAATGTTTGCTTTTATAAGTCTGTACAACCATAATACTGAGAAGGAAATATTTATGTTATCTTGTGCTCCCAGTTGTTATTAACATTAATCTCAATTAGTGACAATATATTTCTCATAATCTGCTGTTGTAGTATCTGTCAGATGAATTTACTAGGAGCAATTTGTTTTTAAAAAATATAACCGAAAAATACATAGTTAAATTATTTATTGTATTTATATACTACATGAATTAATTGTGCAAATTGGGCTAGTTAGTACTCCGTAGATGATTATTGTATTGAAACCTGGTATTGGATGTGTACTGAAGATTATGGAAAAGCTTTAGATAAGGTGAATTAGTAATCATGTCTTGCAATGACGATTGAGGAAGTGTTACTGGTGCTATGAGGTTTGCTTTTAGAATGGTAACATGTTCATTTTGTTTTCAGTGTGCACCTTAATTTAAAATGAACCGCTTTGTTAATTTAAATCTGGATTATTGGCAGATTAGCACCATGTGCACAAGCTTTTTATGTTCCTCAGGGTGATTTAATCCACACCTCAACAACAACCAAGTTGGTAACCTCTTTGATGTTGTGAATAGTATCAGAGTACCTGTTTAAAGTTACTGATTCTTGGCTTGAGGTTTGTGTTACTCCCTTCATGACTTGGTTCTGATCAAGTAATGAAAATATGTATGTATTTCTCTGATGCTTGCTTAGGGTGCACTGTTGTTGAGACCAGACGGAACGCCCATAAGCAAATGTTTTGTACTGTTGAGAGAACACTTCATCTTGCCCTCTTATTTTGCGGTTCCAGCATGGAGCAAATCGTTATATTTGAGTTGCGAATTTACTCACATTTCATGTTTTAGATAATGCTCCATTGTTTGCACAAAGCAAATTTGATAAGTGTCCAGGAGTAATCTGAGCACAATTTTTGCTTGCAGTATGCAATGTCATAAGATGGCATACGGGCAGATATTTATTGCTCATCGGTTGGATACAGCATGCCGCTTTTCCGAATTCACCTGACGAATTTGATCTTATATTCTGATTTTGGTGTAGGTTTTGTTACTTTATTTAATCCAATTTCTTTGTCAACCAGTCACGTCGTTTTTGAAGAGTTGCTGTTATTATTTCATGAATATTTTTTTTATGGATTTTATGCAATGTTATTTATCTGCAAAACTTTTACTTTTATTTTTAGCACCGGTGTTCTTTCATTTTCTTTTATAAGATTGTTCTCGTTTGTTTTTCTGCTTGCAGTCTTTTGTTGCTTATGGTCGTAACTTACTGTCATAGTCATATGGATAGATCCAGTATTGTTTTCCCGTGCATTTGGCTTTTCGTTGGTAGGTGAATTTTCCATCGGTTGCATTTGTTGTACTGCACAATAGTAGCAGTATTACCACTTAGCTTATTCGATTATTTGCCTATTTTAGGACCTTGTCGGATCATTACGCACTAATATACTGCCTGTAACAATTTCGTTAAGTGAAATAAACTCGAGCAACTTTGTGGCTATTAAATAACCCAACATATTTGAGCAATGTGTTTTTGGTTTGTCTTTCTTCAGAGTTGAGAATAACCGAACAAGTCGTATTCCCCATTGGCTTATTTGGGTTTATTTTGTGTTATATATTCCCCAACATGTTCGTACGTCGGCTAAGTTTCAGCTGGGAGTTTTAGCGCCATGCGAAACAACTCAAATCATTCGCCGGCAGGGAGTTTAAAATATTAATTATTATAAATTTACTCGAATCATTCGTCGGCAGGGAGTTTAAAATATCAATTATTATAAATTTTAAAATATATTTATTTGATTTTTAAAGAAGCTTTTATATAAAAAGTACTTTTGTGCAAAACGCTCCGCTTAACCGTTTAAAAGCTGAGTTTGACGCACGGTCTAGGCGTCTAGCTCGCCCTCTGTGTACAGCAAGTATATCACCACTCTAGAGGCGCCATGATAGTGGCTTCCGAGAAATCTTTGCGAGGAGGATAATCCCTTCAAGATCAATCACAGATTCACTGATATCGTCAGAAATAAGGCACGGAGGGAAGAACTGGCATATAGGAATATGACTGACAACTAGCGAAATTTTACCACAGCGTAAATAAAATTCTTTTGGCGAGGTAAAGCCGATAATATTTTACGTTCGAAAACCGATGGTCAAGTGCACAATAATATGTGAAGGAACAAAACATTCCCCCCAAATTTTGATGTCCACAAAGTCATTTGCTCCCCTCTTAATGCTTCATTGGTCCATCCTTATCCTTTCCATGTATTTATGGCCTGGTTTGTCATTTACTGATTTTACAGTCCTATCGCTTGAATTAAATTACTGTCATCACTCATGGTTCGTTTAGTCGTCCTCATCCAAGACCTTAATTCACCCTACCTGCATTTTTTCTGTCTTATGCGCCCGGATTTTTCTTGCAACGCTTTCAAGTTTCAACTACTACTTTTTTCTCCCCGGGAGAATCAGCTTAACACTTTCAGGTTGGAAAGGATTAGTGGAGCCTCCTTTACTCGATCCGTTGTTTTAGTTGTTAGCCTTCTAGGCCTCTTACCAATTTGCACTCCCGTTTCCCGCGCCGGCCTATAGTGGTTTCTCGTGATTGCTTCCTACACGCAATCAGTCAGGTGACTGCGTCGCCGAGCGCCGAATGATTGCACGTCCCCGTGATTGCTCCGCATCTTGCAATCCCGGTCCTATTTTTGGCCGCGGCGTTGCGAAACTGTTATGATTGCCGCCACTCAGATCTGGACAAGCATGCCGCATGCGGTCATGCAGGGCAATAGGGCATCATACCGCGCACACCGGCGCCGCCCGGCTCGTCGGACGGCAGCGACGTCGCCGTCAAAACGTCTCCGGGATTTGGTTGTCCGGAGAGACCCTGATCGAGAGAGAGAAAGAGATAGATATATAGTCGATCTCAATTAATCCGGCTCACTGTTATAGCCGATCGCCGCGGTCACGCGGCCACTGTGGCGCGCCCTATAAGTCGCGCCACTTGCATGGCCGCGTCGCGCCGGCGACACACGTGCCGTGGCCTCTGGGCGAGTATGTGCCACTGCCCTACGCGCCGGCCGTCGTTGTCGCCGTCTTCCTTTTAGCAGCGCAAGTTGGTTAGACTTATTGGCTACCGGTGATGGCTTTCTCTATTCCTCCTCGTTGTTACGGATGGGAGAGGCGGGGAGCAGGTTAGACTTATGCGATATGAAATTTCGCCATACGGAGATGAAGTCTCCCTGACCAGCTTGTACTCTACCACCACTCCTCTCGCCACTACAGTCCCTGCTTCTCAGCGGACAGTAGTGCAAGTTTACCACTTGTAGCTGTAGTGGCTGAAATCTGAACCTTTCTTCTGCCCAACGTAGGACGAATCGGTGCCCGCAAAGTGCGACCGGATCGCCGGCCGAAAGCCGAAAGGAAACGGCACACAGATGGTTCACCAGCTGCCCCCATGCACTCGCTTACCCTACTATGCATGCACGGCGCGTGCACGCACGCTGCGCTGGGCGACGGCAAATAGTCCCGTGGCTTAAATGACGCGACTGCCTCCACGTGGGGAGGTCGGGCCTGTGCGTGGCCATACGCACGCGGGGCAATCGCTCGTACGGGCCCGCCCCGCCCGCCCGCGCGTCCGCGTCCGCGCGCGGTCCACCGCTCCACCCACCGTCCCCCCGCCCCCGCGCCTCGCTCGCCTCCGCGTCCCGACGCGTGGGAGCTAGGCGCCCGCGCGCGTACGTACACTGCGCTCCGGTGGGAAAAAAAAAAACAACGGCGGAAACGGCCTCGCGCGCGTTGCACCTACCACACACCGATATCACCGCGCGGCGCTCGCTACCTCAATCCCTGGCTTTGCCGTGGCGGGGAGGAGGGCCCGGCCGGCACGACGTCAAGTCGGATGTGAACGCATGCTTGCACTCCAGAGGATAGCTAGCTCTCTCAACGACCAAGGGGCTTGTCAACACGACAGGGCGGCATCGATCGCCAACTTTGTATAGCACAATACACCATCGCATCCCAATTCCTTCCCGGAGACTCACCCCCACCACCGGCACACTTGAAATCAAAACCCAACGTTTTTGCCATTCGCCCATCCACGCATACTACCACAGTCGCGCCCACTCTCGTGTCCCTAGCAAGAAGAAAGTAGGGCGGCAATTCAGAGCGAATAAGTTTGTTTTGTACATGAAGGTTCGTCTCCACAGCGTTCTGGCGTGACAGAGATGACACATATGGTATGTACTCTGGGCATCCAAAGATGGGTAATGAGCAAAGAAGATCCCTTTCGTTTCGTGGGGGTCGGAGCGTGTAGATACACGCACAAACACTACCTAGACACCACCTCCATCATCATTTCGTTTCACCTCACCTCACCTCGTCTCTTCGTATATACTCCCTCCGTTTCGAAATGTTTGACGCCGTTGACTTTTTAGCATATGTTTGACCGTTCGTCTTATTCAAAAAATTTAAGTAATTATTAATTCTTTTCATATCATTTAATTCATTGTTAAATATATTTTTATGTAGGCATATAATTTTACATATTTTACAAAAGTTTTTGAATAAGACGAATGGTCAAACATATGCTAAAAAGTCAACGGTGTCAAACATTTTGAAACGGAGGGAGTATCATCTCACCCGGCAGTGTCCCGTAGGGCCCAGGCACAGTGTCACCGTGTCGCCGTCTCGCCATGGCTCCATGCTTCTTCAAATCGGCACTGACAAGTCACAGCTAACTTTGCAGTGTTTGTTCTGTGACGAGAGCATTTTTTTTCCTGCCCAACCGAACTAATTTGGGACAAAAGAAGACAATGAAAAGATGGGTGAGCATTAGTCTGTGTTAGTGTGGGTTATTCTTGATAGAATGGAATTATGCATGAAAGTGTTTTAATTTGGAGGGCAGACAGGAATGCAAATTAACTTTGATTCCCAGCAGCCGGAATATTGCTGACCATGGAATTGTCACTCCCTTTTTAGTGTCATGCTAAGACATGCATGCACTACCAAATATACACACACTACTATCACAAATGGCAAATTGAGTTGTACTGCACTTGTCTACTCATAAATTCCATAGTAAGGTTAGCATGCTTGGGTTTGCATTTAGGTGTGTGACGCATGAATTGAATCTGGACAACGTAACGCACTTAACATGAAAATCTGTCAGGTTGTTACTCTCTACCGTAGTGCAATCGATAGCCATTCGCATGCCCGGATTAGACAATCATGCATGAGTTTCGTTGTAGTGCGGCATTAAGAAGTCAAAACCAAAGAATTCATCTGTATGTGCGAGTGTTTGTGCGACAAGAGAGAGAGAGAATAATCAAGACGAAGCTTACTAAACTAGAAATTAAATTACTCCATCCATCCCAAAATATAGCAACGGAGGGAATAATTGATTTGCCAAAATCAACTGAACTTTTTCTACCAAACCGAAACATAAATAAACATACCGAGCAAGCTAGAATTTTAAAAGAACAAAACATTAGAATATGCTGAAATATACAATTAGACTCTGGGTGAACCTAGCTAGGATTTGAATTGAGGTATAATTAGGAAAGTTTAAGCAAAACCATGCATGCATGTACAAAGAACACATCCAATTAAGCATAGCTATGTATGCACAATTCTAACAAAACAATTAGTGTATTCAGGCATAATCACGCATTGAGCAGTGCATGCAGGGAGTAAAACTCAAGAAATATTTTGTAGTGATCGAGTAGTCCAAAGTATGCAAAATGACCAAGCAATTGACACAAGCGTGAATTGGTGCTTGCGAAGAACAAGATGCAAGAGCTTATGATCGAGCAGATAGCTAGTGAAGGAGCAAGTGAGCAACCACT